TTCAACATTCGCAACGTTCAGCGAGCGCTTGAGTACGCCTTCTTCTCCCTCGCCCGATGGTCCAGAGGTCATGCGAGGGCGATGAAGCTTGCGCGCGTTTGACCAGAGGGAGCAGGAGGAGGAGAGACGAGGCTAGGCAGCATCTTGCGGTGGGACCAGCGCTGGGACAGGTTCTCCTCTTCCTACCTCCTGCTGCTGCTCCTCTTCCTACCTCCTCTTCCTGCTCCTGCCCCTGCTGCTCCTGCTCCTGCTCCTGCTCCTGCTCCCTTTGCGTGCTGCCTCATCCTGCTCTTGATGGCTCTTCCCAGCGCCTTCGCCGAGCATCGGCTTCGTCGCTTCTCGTCCGCTCCCAGCAGCAGGTGATGCTGACGCCACAGAGGAGGACGAGACTGACGTTGAGGCAGAGGAGGAAGAGAGGGAGACGTGCAGAGCAGCAGGGCAAAGGACGGAGAATCAGGAGGAGGGAGAGGTGGAGGGAGAGGAGGGGGAGTAGGAAGAGGAGGAAGGGGTGGTGGTGGAGGAGGAGGATGGAAGGAGGGAAACGAGAAAGGAGGCAGAGGAGCAGACAGAGGAGGAGACGTGCGGGGAGGCAGAGGAGGAAAGCAACAAACTCCCAACTTCTTCCGGAGGCAGCGACATCAGGAACTATTCAAGCGAGCCAAGAGGAGTAGCTTCTGAAAGGGGAGGATCAGGAGGAGGAGGAGGAGGAGGAGGAGGAGGAGGTTAGGATTGTATTTGTAAGATAACATTCTGGCTGGCACTCTCCCTCTCCTCCTCGCTCCTTCTAAAGGTTTGGCATCTTCAGCCCAAGTTTCCTGCAGAAGATGTTGCATGTATGACTCTGCAAAATATTTCAGCTCATCTCCTCCTGCTGCCCTTTTCCTTCCTTTCCCCTTCTTTACCTCGCTCTCCCTCTCTGCTCCCGCTAGTTCTTATCCTCGTCCTCTCCCTCGACTTCTCCATCTCTTCCCACCGACATGAACCTTACCCTCTCGCCCCCTCTCCTCCTGTCTTCCTCCCTCCTGCTCCATCTTTACCTGGAAAAACGTCTTGATCCCCTCCTGCCGCTGCAACTTGATGTCAGGGTTCAAGAGGTGGGATTGTTGGGGGGGATAATTGATGATGGAGATGGAGATGGAGATGGAGATGACGCAGAGGAGGAGGAGGAGGAGAAAGAGGAGGAGGAGGAGGAAGGAGGAGGAGGAGGAGGAGGAGGAGGAGTTGACCTTGTTCGATCTGTGCTTCCACCCGTCCAATTTTTTGTCGGTGTGAATGGCAGGATCTGCCGCAAGCGTTCAGTCCTCCCTCTCTCCTTCCTCTCCTCCCGCGTCTACCTGTGAGCAAGAAACCGTCCACGGGGTTCCAGACTCCCTGCAGGTCACAGACGAGCGTATGGCCGTCGCTGACTTGGTAAGTGAAGTGGGAGAAGCACTGAGGGAGATCGTCGACACAGATCACCTCGTTGTCGTGCTCGTGCGTCAAGACTGCTTCTCCCTCGTCCTCCTCCTCCTCTTCGTCCTCTGCCTCTTCAAGAATCGCTCCGAGGCCTCTGTCAGCGGCAGGAGCGACGTAGGTCGAGGAGTCGCGGGAGCTCGAGGCGTCGAGCAGCTTGTTCTTGTGCGGCTCGATGGTCTTGCGGCAGACAGGGCACTTGTCATGCTCGACCTGGAAGTTCCTGAGGCACTCGAGGCAGAAGATCGCGTGACCGCAGGAGAGGCGTATCTGCCGTGGGTTGTCCCCGCAGACGAGACATTCCTTGGCCTTGCGCGAGCGCCGCACGAACCCATTGTTGTTGTTCCACTTGACAAAGTTGCCCTCCAGCTCCTCCTCCACGTAGACCCAGGCGACTCCGTCCTTGAAGCTGTCGTCCCGCAGCTCGTAGGCGAAGCAGGGGATGAAGTGAATGTTCCAGGCAGCAGGGCCCTGAAGCCGCCGGTTGAAGAGCACGGACATGGCATGCGCATCGCTCTGCACGTGGAAGGAGGGTAAGATATCTTTCAGCGTGTTCGCCAGCTCCATGTAGATGGACGACTTGGCGACCAGCCGCGGGCCCTGTCGCGTCACCAGACCTCCCCCCTGCTCATTGCGGAAGCTCACTTCCATGCATCGGAAGCGTAGCGCTCCGAGCCCTGCCCGAACCACTTGCGGTTGTGCACGAACCCGCCGACGACAGGGGCGACGCTGACTGGCTCCAGCGACTTGGTGGTGAAGTTCCACTTGTACTTGGCAGTGATAGTCATGTTTTCTCCGGCCCCGCTTGTCCTCCCCGCAGGCCTCACCACGTAGAGGTCCCAGCCGCGACGCAAGTCTACAGTGTCTGTGCTCGCCGCCCCCCTGTCCGACGTGTCTCGCTCGACGTTCCTGTTGCTGAGGGAGGCACCAGCCAACTCGTTGCAGAGCGAAGTGACGGTGCTGGTGAGAGAGGAAAAGGCCGTCCGCAAGCAGTTGGACGACAGCCCCAGCTTCTGGAAGGAAGAGTTGGGCAGCACCTTCGACATCTTCTCAAGGACCTCGTAGTCCTCGTTGCTGGGCCCGAAGGCAACCGTGCAAACAAACACTCGATCTCGACCGTAGATGTCTCCAATCATCATCATCTTGTCCAGACACTCTGACGTCACCTCCTCCACCACCGCTCGCCGGCACCGGGCGTTCCCCGGGCACCTACGGAGTGACGGCTTGCTGGTGTAGTGGGAAGGAATCGACTTCCAGACGAAGACGCCATGGCAGCAGACCCTGTCGACGTGATCGCTCGGTACGCCATCGCTCAAGAAGAAGAGGAAGAGCTTCTCCTTACTTCCTCTCGACAGCTTCAGCAGTTCGAGCACAGCATCCAGCGCAGGGACATAATGGCCATGGCACCTCGGCGAGCTGATGGTGGCTCTGATCATAGGGATCAGCTCCTCGTTGATGGGATGCCTGCGGAGGACGATCGTCGGCTCAGTGGACATGTGCACAAGGGAGATGACGTGCTTCTCCTGCAGCGGCCCCTTCCCTCGCAGCAGCTCCACCCTCGGCTGGATGTGATCTCGGATCAGACAGTCATACACCGCGGAGATCCTCGACTCGTATCCTAGCACGTCGTTCTTCCGCATGGACCCGCTGTGGTCAACGACGATGACGGTGTGGGTGGCCCCTGAGTCGAGGACCTCAGCTTCTCTCTCCTCTTCCCCGTTGATTCTCCAGGAGCAGATGAGATTCTTGCCGCTGTGGTCCGTCAGGAACACTTGCCCCTTGTGAAAGACGCGCAGCCGAGCCTGCCCGTCCCGTCCCGGGTTTGCATACTCATACCTGCCGTGCTTCATGGCCTCGCGAAGCCTCTCTTTGGCCGATGATGCCATGCTGTCCTGGCTCTTGCTGCTCGGCCAGCAGGTCAGTGGGTTGACAGCAAGCGGGCGAGGAGAGCATGCACGGAGCAAGGAAGAAGAAAAACAGTCGGACAGCGAGGGGGGAAGAGGATGGTGTAGGTGGCAGTTTCAAGGCATTGGTGCGCGATAGTGTCGATAAAGGATCAAGCAAAGGCGGAACGTCAGAAGCAGGGACAGGAACAGCGGAGGGCAAAGAAGCAACAGTGAAAAATCCTACAGGAGCTTGGAGGTACTGAAAGAAGCTAAGATTTAAGAAGAAGTTTAGATGAAGCTGGGTTTCTGACAACAAGCAGGAGCAGCAGGAGGAGGAAAAGCAAGAGGACGAGGGATGATGACGGAGAGGAGGACAAGGACAAGAACAAGCTTGGGAGGAGCAGGAGCATGAGAAAGGAGCAGGAGAAGGAGAAAGGATCAGGATCAGGAGCAGGAGCAGGGGCAGGGGCAGGGGCAGGGGCAGGACCAGGGGCAGGACCAGGAGTAGGTGAAGGAGAAGGAGAAGGAGTAGCAGTAGGAGTAGGAGTAGGAGTAGGAGTAGGAGTAGGAGTAGGAGTAGGAGTAGGAGTAGGAGTAGGAGTAGGAGTAGGAGTAGGTGAAAGAGCAGGAGCAGGAGCAGGAGGAGCAGGAGCAGGAGCAGGAGCAGGAGCAGGAGCAGGAGCAGGAGCAGGAGCAGGAGCAGGAGCAGGAGGAGGTAGGAAGAGGAGCGTAGCTAGCTATAGCTAAGAAACCTCGGGCTCGCGGTTTGTGGCTGCACCAGTCGCAGTACCGTAAATAAAAAACTGGTATGTTGGTGGAAGAAGCAGTACAAATACAAAAAGTCAAAAAGAAGCAGAGTACACTTTATTAGTACTGTAAGGGAACTTATATATTTATTCAGAGGAAAGACTCGTACAGTGATCAGTCTCGCTGTAGTTTACTGGGTCGTAGTAGATTTATATATGGTACTCTTGGCCTCAGCCTTCAAGTTATTTGCCTCAGCGGAGTCTGATCCGTCAATCCGATCGGACCGACGGCGCTCCGGGCCCGGCCGGGCCCAGCCGGCTGTCACTGAGTCCTTCTCAGCCGCCATCCGAGTCATTCAGTGCGGGTGCGTTCGGCTGGCACGGTGCCACGGTGCGGGCGCCGCGTGGGGCCTTGGAACTTGATAGGCCTTCGCGCACTGTGACTTAACTTGACTTAGTGAACCGGGCCCGCCCCCAGTGGCCCCGGGCCCGGGGGCCCGGCGCGACGGTAGCCAGTGCGGCGTCCGACCTCTCATCGGAGTCGGATCCGGATGACCCAGTGACTCATCCCGGCCCGCCCGGCGTCTCCTGACACTCCGAGACACCCGGGCCGCACCGTGCCAGTGGCCAGTGGCCGGGCCCCGCTGGCCGCCCGGCCCGGCCGGACTCGGGATTGTGACTATCATAGTTGACTATAACGGCTTACAGTCCTTATTAGGCAAGGGAGGGGAATGCCAGGATCGCAGGCGCTGCTGCTGGGGTTGGTGGCGCTGGCGAGCTTGAGGAGCTTAGGGTCGTGGGAGTTGAGCGAATGCCGAAAAGATGGGAGAGAGGACGAGGCATGCATCCTCTCTCGCCTCGACACAGAGGACGATGTTCGGTCTGCGTTCGATGCTACCTCGGTCAGGTACAAAGTGATCCCAAACTATCTGCACTCTCGAATCCCAGAAAAAGACCGAGATGTCACGCTTGTGACTCAGGGGAGTCTCGACAGACTGTCTCGGCTGAGAGATCAGGCACTGTCATGGAAGGGATCTTTGTCTGCAGCCATATACTTCAGGCACCATGAGCGGCAAGGGGAGAACTTGGAGAAAAACCTAGAAGCCCTGCGGGAGCTGCATAGAGAGATTGAAATGCTCGGTAGCTGCCGGCTACGGATATCTTTGCTGTTTGCACTTGATCCTGAAACCGCGGACAAAGAGTATGATACCTTGTGAGTTTCTGCCTGCTTTTCTTTTCGGCTGAGGATTGTACACTTCTAGGTACCCGATCAACGCCCTCAGGAACGTGGCGGTCAGAATGTCGTACACTGACCTCATCATGGTGATAGACATCGACTTTGTCCCTTCCAAAGGCTTCTGGGAGTACCTGACAGAGGAAGAGACCTACCAGTCCCTAGTCAGACGCGCGCAACAAGACCTGCACGTATGGGGGTTGGTGTCTCTCGAACTCCACGAGGTTACTGCCCGTTACACTGCGTTATCGACATCGTGACCTGTTGGCTTCTCCCCAGACGTTTCTCTCGCTCCCTCTCACCATCGGAGGGGTTGCCGAATGTCTCAAGAACGCGAGCGTTGTGGTGGCAGAGACTTACATTAACCCGGGAGCCCACGGCCCGGTGCAGATCGAGACATGGCTGGAGGCAAAGGAGGCAAAAGACTCTAGCAAAGTTCTCTCTGCTGATCTACACAGCAGATCTATGGTCCTCTCCCAGACTTGAGCGGGTTCGAACCCTTCGTTCTGGGATCAAGGCATGATTCTTCGGGAGCCCTGTGCCAGGACTGATGGAAGTGATGCAGGAAGCACCTTCCTCTCTACGATGAGCGTTTCCGAGGATATGGGTGGGACAAGACGACGCACGCGGCACAGGCGAGGCTTCTGCTTCTTCTGCCTCTTCTACTTTTTGTGCTGTAAACGTCTCTTCGACTGACGTACTCGCTGGCAGTTGCGACGGCTGGGTTTCTCTTACTTCATTCTTCCATATCACTTCGTCATCGCTCGTTACCATCAGCCGACCCCAACTGCAGTACGTCTCTTGCAGCGGCTGCCATACTCGTTGACGGGCCCTCAAGGTTCGGATCTTCGGCGATCAGCCCGACACGCTCCTGACGATGCGCATGGAGTGGCTGTTCAACCGATTCCTCATCCAGCTGGAGGAGAACTCCAGCTCAGTCCCCGTCTTAGCCTCTCACGAGATATCATCCTTGTAACTCGTCTCCGCGACCTCAACAGATGTTTGCTTCGCGGTGCCATCCACCAGCGAGATGATGCGACTTGGGCCAGCTACCGCACCTTGCTGGGGTTATCCCTGTGAGCGCTCTTGCTGTGCCTGCTGTCGACCTGATCATCGGAATCATCCGACAGCTTCATGTCCTCTGCCATCGTTCTCTGGATGTCTGCATCCAACTCTGCAGTCAGTCTCTCGACGTCCTGCGCCTCGGCCTCGCTCAGGTCGTCCAACTCTGACGGGTCGGCACCTGGACGTCGAGCATGTTTCTCGTGTGAGGGTCTTGACTGTCGTATGGGGGTATCTGCGAAAGGATCTCCATCTGAAGAGTGTTCAGAACCATAGTGGATGTCTCCTTGCAGAATCTCCGGAGGCTGTTGTTCGAGGACGGAATCCTCCACTCCCTCCACATGAAGAGTCGGGATCTTTTCAGCTTCAGCTTCCTCTACCTCCTTGCTGATGTCGAAGAGACTGTCATCATCTGCCCCACCCCGCAGGCCGATGCACCGCATTCCCATCTGCGTGCACGTCGTCGCTTCGAGAGCCACCAGTGACAAAGATATTGCCATGAGGAAAACGTATCTTCTCACCTGCATTTTGAATGTTCAACCTTGCTCTGCCTGTTGTGATCTGTTTGGATACCTTATCCCCCTCTCACTTCCCAGAGTCCTTCCTACTTCCCTCCTCTCCGCCTCTCCTCATCCTGTGCTTCCTTTCCCTTCCAAATCTACCTCGAGCCTGCCTCGGGATTCAAAGTAGCCCCGGGCCACCGGGCTGCCGATCCCGAGAAAGCACCGGGTCACTGAGAGCTATAAAATCTTTTTGGGGGTATGACGGGGTGATGGAAGTAGTTTCAGGGGGTGGGTGAAGATTAACTTACATTTCATACTACCCCCTCATTTCCCTATATGGACCCACCTTTGGCTATTCTTGGTTTTCACTGTGCGTCCACGTATTTTTGCGGCTCACATTACCCCTACCCCATACCAGTAGACCTCGAACATACCCCTACCCCCAAGAATCATTCAGTACCGGTAGTCTCAACCTATAGACCCACAATTTTCCCCAGAAAAGTACCCTATGTGAAATACTATTTGGGTACCCCAGGTGAAAAAAAACAGCGACTTATCATTGCTATCCCTACCACGAGTACCTACCACCAACAATGTCAGCTACCCCTGTCCATGATTTACCGATCTTCCGTTAAAAGAAATTCTCGAATTATTTTCAAAAGATAACATGATTTCAATCCTATTTCAGAGTTTCCCAGTACCCCACCCCCTATCTACCAGCGATGTATACATCACTGCTCCTGCTCGAATGCCCCCTTTCAAGTAAGCCAGGGTGGCCTTGCTCACCACTGCTGATCTCAATCATATCGCATCATTCCCTCTCAAGGATAGACGTGTACCAGCTTTGCTTCAGTTGTCTCAATCTTTATCTCCTCACCTGACTATCGCATCCTCTTGTCTCTGAAACGAAAACAGAGCGTTCGATCCTAAAATGAGGTTCACAACCGGGCACTCCTCCGGCATAAGGGACATACTCCATGAAGAAACATCCAAGCTTCGTGCAGAGTTTGATCGTGCAAGACTTGAGTTTGGCATACGCGACGAGGTGCTTGAGGAGCCAGCAGTCACATTCGACGGAAGCGACGCCTCGATGGATAGCAGGAGCTCGTCGTCGTCGGAAATCTTTCGCCACGGCATCCTCAAGCCTCAGTATTCATCATCCTCTGCTCAGCATTCCTATCCACTGAATGACCTCAGAGGAAGAGCTGACACCAGCGCTCCGCTGGAGTCATTCTGCTGGCCTGATTTATACCAGACCCTCGGCGACATGGCAGAACCCCCGGGGAGAATGCGCGACATGCCCTCGACCGCCAGGCAGCCGTCGGAGAGAAGACCAGCTCGACATGAAGAGGAAGCAGCGCGACTTCACAGCGCTCACTTTGAGCCTTCGAGACAACCCGCGGTGGGGTATTCCGTGATGAGCCCGCGAGATCGGTACGAGAGTGCGGCCGTGCTCTACAAAGAGTCGCAGAACCTCATGAAGTACCTCGCCACCATCTCCTCCGCTGCGGCCCGTCTCCAGCATGCGGTGGTCCGTCAGCAGTCGGAGTCTGTCATGTATCAGGATGAAGACGACTGCCCCTCTCCCGCAGCATGCCGATGCCGAAACAAACTTGGGCTGGAGCCTGTGAGCCAGCCGAGCCCAAGGCTGGAGCTGCTATGGAGCGAAGAAGTTCTCTTTCCCTCTCCAACCGCACACAGGGCTCAGCCAAAGCACTTTGAGACCGTCCTTCCTCCTCAGAGCAGAAGTGTTGGTACACAGGTCAGTGCACAGGCAGCTCCCTGTTCAAGGCCTCCTGCTCGCAATGCGGACGATCATCATTCTCGGAGAAGAATTGAAGCAAGAACCAAGACAGTGCGCGTCAAGGATGTGGCAGTTGAAACTGAACCTCTCGCTGAACCCGATGAGCCTGAAGCACATCTCTCTGCGCCCCGCAGACAAGTGCACCGTCAAAGTGCAGACACTTCTTGCCAAACCGATCGGATTTGTCAGACCGAGCCCAAGGAAATGTCGGCGAGGTGCAGACTTGGAAGTGGAATCGCGGAGTCTTCCAAACACAAACAGCACGAAGAATCGAATCCGGTGCAGCATCGGAAGCTTGCTAAGTCACAGGAAACACATGCGTCTGCTCGTAGCAAGAAGATGAAGAGAATTCTGATTAGAAGGTTGGATGGAAGCCCTGCTACACATGTTGCTGATGTGATGATGTCTTCAGGCTAAACGAGATCAACAACAGTATCACGGCATGCATCAATTCGTTTGATGGCATGTCGAACACCACAAGCCTTGAAGGTGTGCTGTCCTTGCTTATCAATGCTGCTCATGACTCTGATGTTCAGACATGCAAAATCTTGAGGTCAAGATTGAGTCATTGCAATCAGAATACTCGCAAGTTTGTCAAGTACTGGAGGAGCTGGGTGTGGATGTGAATAGAGAGCAGAGCGGTGGTTATGACAGCGACAGCGACAACTGAATCATAGATTGATTGAGTGAAGAGATGTGAGTGATAGCGGCGATCTTCATTGTGCTGTTATGCTTCAATGAGTTATAGACCTCGTCGTTGTTTGCCTACTCTGCCTCTTGTTGCGTGTCGGAGTCCTAGTGTGTGATCGAGAGTCCAGCATGACGACGATCTCAAGCATACCTGAGTCTCTTGCATGCTGACAGCATGGGTTCGGAACGAGTCCTCTTCCTCTCGCCCTGACGCGCCCCTGGGCCCTGTACTGCCATACCTGACTAGCTCCGCTTTCTGCACCTGGAGGCCGTGACCACCCCTCCCTTACATACTCACAAAAGGGGGTGGGTAGTTTGCTCAGCAAAGACGGAGGGGTGGGGTGTATTGTGGGATATTGAAGGGTAGGGGTACATATTGAGTAAAATTTGAAAAATCGTTTGAAGGCGAGTAGAAAAATGGCAGACACACCAAGACAGAGAAGCGAAGAGAGGAGAGGAGAGGAGGATGGCAGAGGGCAGGACAGCGCAGGACACGAGGATAGACTAGGATAGACTAGGAGAGCATAGGTGAGAGATTATGAGAAAGCAGAGCACAGTGGAGCCGATTCGAGCCGAGCTGAGTGATGTGGAGACAAAGGAATCGCCGAGGCATCATGGGAGTAGCAAACACACTTTAGTGGACGATTGGATAGGCTGATGAGAGCCAAGTTGATAGAAGGGAAAGTTTTGCAACAGGTTGGGTTGAAGAGCTGATGCAGGAGGATGCGATGTAATGAGAGTTTGCTTACATAACATCCTGTTTTCTGGATCGTATTGATGGACCTTCTACATATTTGGCTTGTTAAGATATTCGTAAAGAGAGGTGTTAACTCCCAGTGAAAGATAGACTGAAGAAGTCTAAGTTTCCAATGAATGCAATTTCGGGACTTGACTTCGAGTGGCAGTGAGAATGATAACAGATCTGAATGATGCACCAGATCTTCCTATGATTATCATTGGCAACATTTGATTGTTCTTCAGGTGGACAAGGATGGAGTTCGTAATTCCATCAAAACCGGATGACCTGCTTGATCCGAATGCGGCATGCCATGTGCAAGATTACGATCTCTCGGAAGCCCTTCCAAGACTCGATGGTTGAGATGGATGTTTCAATGTTTCAAGTCGCTCAACTGCATTGACAGGCTTGATTGATTTGCTGTGCGAAAACTCGACAAACATTTGCGAAGACGATTCGTTCGATTTGCTGTATTGCATCATCAGGTGAGCGGAAGCTTCTCCCCTCCCGCCTCCTCCGTCTACCTCAACGCCAACATCAGCTCCAGCTGACGATGATGGTGGCAGGTCGCATGAGGAGCTGACAGAAAATGTGAGGAGCAGAGTGTTCGATGTCCTGGTTACTGGCCTCTCGTGCCTCGGCGTCTACATCGACAGCATCTCCTCCTCCTCCTCCTCCTCAGAGCTCGCAACGGCCAGGAGTGCCTTGCGAATGCACGTCTTCCTCCTCAGGTGGCTCAGCTCCCTGGCCGAGAAGAGCTCTAGCGAGGCCTCGGGCATCGAGAAGGCTGCCCGACCAGCCAAGGGGAAGGCCAAACCTCGAGGAAGAGCAGCAGAACTCTGGTCGTGGGACTCCCAGCGGCTGAAGCTGCTTCAGACCTTCCGCAACATCCTGCAAGCAAACCTGCAACGGTTGTGGTCGCCCTCGAAGCCGGAGGAGAACTTTGTGAACCTCTTCCTCTCTGTCGCCTTCAACGCTCTCGCCATCCCTGCCTGCGGCAAGGACAAGGACACACGAGCATGCATCAACAACATCATCCTCTCCTGCGCCGGACACCTGGGGCAGCACGTGAACGCTGCAAGCCACCTGATGAACGCGCTGAACCATCACGAGCACGCGACAGTTGCTGCGGCAGAGCTCCTGGTTGTGGCGTCACAGCACTCCTTCTCCTCATTCATCGCCGAGGTCATGAATGAGATCGGTCGTATGCCCATGGCGGATCTCGCTAGGGACGCGGCAGTCGCTCGCAACTTCTCCTCCTTCCTCTGCGAGCTGGCGGAGATGGCGCCTTCGGTTGCTCTGAGCCATATGAGCGTGTTGAACCCGCACCTTCAGGTCTCAACTCGCTCCCTCCCCTCTCTTGGTCTGACGTGCCTGCCCAGTACGGCGAGTCGTACGTCATGAGGAACGCCGTCCTCCACGTCATCGGCTGCACCATCATCGAGCTCGCGGAGATGGTGAGGAAGGAGAGGTCGGAGACTCTCATCAAGACGCGCGAGAGCCTCCTGCAGATCATGCGCGAGAGGACGCATGACGTGAACGCCTTCACGCGCAGCAAAGTCCTGCAGGTCTGGTCCATGCTCTGCGACAAAGACGCCATCCCCAAGAAGACTCAGGTCAATCCCTCCCCGCCTCCCTCCCTCTCCTCCCTTCCCTGTCCCTTCCTCCCTCTCTCTTCTCCCTAGCTCTTCTCCCCTCCCCCTTCATCTCTGCAACTGACACCCCTGTAGCCTGCGGTGGTTCAGCTCGCCACAGCTCGGCTAGAGGACAAGTCAGCTCAGGTGCGCAAGAGCGCGATCCAGCTTCTGCGGGGCCTCGTGCAGAAGAATCCGTACGCACACTCGCTTCCTCTCTCCGTGTTCCGCGGGAAGCTCGCTGAAGCTGAAGCCAACCTGACCAAGGCAGAGGAGGAGATCGCTGTGACCTTCCCTACCAAGGAGGAGGGAGATGGTGAGGAGGGAGAAGTGAAGAAGGAAGAGGCAGAGGAGGAAGAAATGAAGGAGGAGGAGCCGGCTGAAGGAGTGAAGACTGAAGAGGGAAAAGATGAAAAGCTGGAGGAGCTCAGATCGAGGGTGAACTTCTATCAGGCAAGTCCCAATCCTCCTCCTCCTCCTCCTCCTCCTCCTCCTCTTTCCTAACTACCCTCCTCCTCCTCCTTCTCTGACACTCTGGTCAACCTGCAGGCAGCTGTCACGTTTGTCACCACCATCCATCGCGCTGTCGTCATCATCGAGTCGCTCCTTCGCTCCTCCACCGTCAGCGACGTCACCGAGGCCATCCACTTCCTCGTCGCCGTCTATCCCTTCCAGATGGAGGTGGCGCAGCAGAGTGTCCGCCGCATGCTCCTCCTCGTCTGCAGCAAGGAGCCGTCGGTCTGCGAGAGCGTGGTGGAGGCCTACGGCAGCATCTTCCTTTCCCCGCTCCAGGAGGACCAGAGCAGAGATGCGCTCCTCTTCACTGCTCAGCGACTGACGGAGCTGATCCGAGAGGCGACGGTGGGAGAGGTGGCATCCCTGGAGCAGGTGCTGGAGAAGCTCTGCGACAGCGGGGCGATGCCTCTTCCTCTCCTCACAGCTCTGTGGGAGAAGATGGAGGAAGGGAACGAGGAGGCAGCGATCTTCCTGTCTCTCTGCGCGAGCAAGGCTCCTCTCTCCCTCTCCTCCAAGTTCCTCGAGCTCGTCCGTGGCAAGAAGCTCGCGGAACTCCAGCGCTCTCCCGTCATCAGCCGCAGCCTCTGCCTGGTAGCAGAGAGGCTGGCAGGTCGAGGCGCGAAGATGGAGGAGCAGGATCGCTCGCTCGTCTCGCGGTTTCTCTCCTCTGTCGTCCTCTACGAGGATGCGGCACGTCACGACTTGTGGCTCCCTGCCGCAGAGCAGGCGATCAACGCCCTTGTGCTCCTGCACCCCCGCCCTCACGACGCCTTCGCTGCTCTGCTCCGGGAGGCAGCCGGTCAGGTGCTGGCTAGGAGGATGGAGGGCGTGGAGGGGTCCAAGACATGCGAGGCCTGGCGACTCGCTCGCTTCCTGCACGTGCTGGGACACGTGGCGATCAAGCAGCTCGCGCTCGCCGAGTCAGTTGGAGCAGCTCAGCAGAGGCAGAAGCAGAAGGAGGAGGAGAACAAGCAGAAGAAAAAGTCCAAGGACGAGGAGGAAGGCATCGAGGCCACCGTAGGAGGTGAAGACGCAGCCATCCAGGACACCCGGGCGGAGAGGGCGAGGGAAGTGGGAGAGCGGGACCTGCTGCAGGAGCAGCACCTGGTGGGGATGTACGGGAGGCTGGTGAGGGTCGTGTGCCTGGATGAGGACGGGGCCTTCACTCAGAGCTGCGTGAGGACGGCAGCGGTGCTGGCGCTCTCCAAGCTCATGTGCGTCAGCAGCAAGTACTGCGAGGAGAACCTCCAGCTCCTCTTCTCCATCATGATCGCCTCCCCAGACCCCCAGGTGCTTTCCTTCCTTGCCCCTTCCATCACCCTCGCCCTCCTCCCTCTCCTCCCTCTCATCTCTCCTCCCTTCTCTCTCCTCTTACTCCTCATGCAGGTTCGCTCCAACATCGTCGTCGCCCTCGGCGACTTGACGTTCCGCTGGACCAACTTGACGGAGCCCTGGATGACTCACATCTACGCCCTCCTCCGTGACCCGGTGCTGCGAGCCTCCCTCCCCCCTCCCCTTCTTCTCTCTCTTTCCAGCTTTACTTTCCCTCCCCCTGCTCTCCCTCGATGCTTCTTTCCCCCTCGCCTCTCCTTGCTCCAGGAAGTGACGTGGCATGCAGGAGGTGAAGGTGCGACACAACACGCTGACTGTCCTCACCCACCTCGTCCTCAACGACATGGTCAAAGTGCGGGGGCAGGTCAGAAGAGGAGGAGGAAGCAGGCGAGGGGGGCAGGAAGGTGACGAGGTTTCCACAGATCAGCGAGATGGCGCTGTGCCTGGAGGACGGGGACGAGCGGATCGCAGAGATGGCAAAGCTCTTCTTCTTCGAGTTCAGGCACAAGAACCAGGGCATGCTGCTCTACAACCTCCTGCCCGACATGATCGGGAGGCTGTCGGCTGCCCAGCTGGAGGAAGCGAAGTTCCGCCGCATCATCCGCTTTGTCTTCTCCTTCATCGACAAGGCAAAGCAGACGGACGGACTCGTGGACAAGTTCTGTCAGGTGCCCCAGCGCTCCTCCCCCTCCCCCCCCCTCCTCCTCTTTTCTTCTTCTCTACACTCACTCCCTCTGCTCCCAGCGCTTCCGTGCCACGGACGATCAGCGGCAGTGGCGAGACATCGCCTTCTGCTTGTCGAACCTTAACTTCTCCGAGAAAGGAGTCAAACGGCTCTGCGAGGAGTCAAACTTCAAGGTCAATCCTCCCTCCCTCCCTCCCTCCTCTCTCTTTCCCTCCCTCCATCCCTCCCTCCATCCCTCCATCCATCCCTCCCTCCCTCCCTCCCTCCCTCCCTCCATGTTCTCGGCTGACGCTCACTCCAGGCGTTTGCTGACAAGCTCTTCGATGAGGACATCAGCGCGTCCTTCGCTCTCATCGTCTCCAAGGCTCGCAAGCTGCCGAAGGCCGGGGAAGGGAAGTGCGTCGGCGACGAGCTTGAGAGCAAGATCCAGGTGAAGGAGGAGGAGGAGGAGGAGGAGAAGCTGACGGGCTCCAAGGCTGTCCTCGAGTCGTCTCAGGAGGCGAACAACCCAGAAGAAGGAGAGGCAGGAGAGGGCTCTGCTCCTCGCTCTGCCGTCAAGCCTGCGAGGAAACCGGCAGCAGCTAGAGGAGGCAGGAAGCCGCCGGCAAGAGGAAGGAAGAAGAAAGCGAGCGAAGACGTGGGTCTCCTTCTCCTCCCCTTCGCTTCTCATCTCGTTGCACAGGAATGTGACGATGAGTCTGAGCCAAGCGATGAGGAAGAGACGGTGAGGCTTGCTTCCCTCCCCCAACCCCCTGACATGCCTGACAGCCCAAGCCCACCCGAGCAACGCGTGGCAAGGAGAGCAAGCGGCACGTGGACGAGTCGTTGGAGGAGGAAGAGGAGGAGGAAGAAGAGAAGGAGAACACCAAGGTTCAGCTCGTCCTTCCCTCCCTCCCTCGCATGCTGACGTCTCCTCAGGTGAACGTGTCTCGAGCAAAGGCAGGAGGGAGAAGTGCAAGAGCTAGAGCTAGAGTGTAATGCGAGTAACTGACTAACATCAACGGTTGAGCCCGATGTCTTGAAGGAAGTTCACAGTCAGATCGCAGAGCTGTCGCAGCTGAGGAACAGCCTGCGAGAGTTTCTGCACGGCCAGTGAGCGAGGGCGCAGCAGCATCCTCGTACCTCTTCGTCGAGCTTCTCCTTAGCCATGAACGGCTTCACTTCACACCCTCCTGTCTCCTCGCCGTCCTGCTGCTCCTGTTCAGCTGAGAGAGGTGAGTTCGCCAGGAGGGTGCGAGGGCTCAGAATCTTCTTCTCGTACGTGTCGTAGGAGGCTGCTGGCACGTCAAACATGTCCAGTCATAACACCACATAACCTGTCTGCGACTGAGTGGCGAGCTCGAGTAGCGTGTCCCGGATCTTGTAGAGTCGTGGGCGTCAAGAGGAGGGAGGGAGAGGGTCAGGACTGACCTCGTCGTCCATACAGACAAGAAAGTCGAAGTTGTCGAGGTCCTCCATGCTGAAGGCTGCTCGCGGGTTAGTGTGCGTGAGATCGATGCCTTTCTCAGCCGCCGACGCGATGAGCGGGAGGGGAACTGCCTCCCCGGGAGCATTCCGCAGCCCAGCTGACAGCACGAGGAGGCGCTCGAGGGCGACGGCGCTGGCGGTGGAGGAGGGGGGGGCCTGGAGGCGCTGTATGATCTGAGTCATGAGCCTCTCGGCCAGCAGGGCTCTGTAGCACATGTTGCTGACGAAGAGGACGGGAATGAAAGTTCTGCTGCTTCCCCCGCTGATCGTCAACGCGTCTTGGTCGAACCTCCTTGTCGCCTTCCATTGCCGGATCAGCTCCTGAGGAGACTGGAAGCCTCTCCTCTCCCCAGCCTCCCCGGGCCCCTCCCTGCCCTGCCCTGCCCTCCTGCTCATCTTCAGTGACCGCATGCACCTCCTACTCGGCGCTGAGTGAAGGCTCGAGCTCGGCGAGAGTGCAGGGAGAAGGACGAACTGAAGCGTGGATGGCACGTTCAGGACGAGGAAGAGGAAGGATAGGAAGAGCCTTGGTCCCATCGCGTGCGCTGGAAGAATCTGAAGTGGCAGGAAGACGAAAGTAGAAGCGAAGGATAACAGAAGAGAACCAGAGGGGTGTGGGCAGGTGGGGGGAGCTAGAGACGAGGAGGAGAGGGATGGGTGGAGAAGCGAGCACGAGGGATAAGGGGTGGGATGGAGGCGGTGTTCGATCGCGACAGGAGCAGGGGAAGGAGCAGGATCAGGAGAAGAAGCAGGAGCAGGAGCAGAATCAGGAGCAGGAGAAGGAGCACAGGAGCACAGGAGCACAGGAGCAGGATCAGGAGCAGGAACAGGATCAGGAGCAGGAGCAGGAGCAGAATCAGGAGCAGGAGCAGAATCAGGAGCAGGAGCAGAATCAGGAGCAGGAGCAGGAGCAGGAGCAGGAGCAGGAGCAGGAGCAGGAGCAGGAGCAGGAGCAGGAGCAGGAGCAGGAGCAGGAGCAGGAGCAGGAGCAGGAGCAGGAGCAGGAGCAGGAGCAGGGGGCGGAGCAGGGGGCGGAGCAGGTCCCAGTGAGCAGCCTCTTCTGATCCCACCCCCACCCCCTTGTTTGACTTGGACCACCCCATGTCGGCAATTAGATCAGCGGGGATGGAAATGGCAGAACTTGACCCGAACCTTCGGCTGTGGAAGACAGAAGAGGTACGAGAAGATGAGAGAGGGAGAGGAGGAGAAGAGGAGAAGAGAGGAGGAGAGAGAAGAGGAGAGAGAAGAGGAGGGTTCAGAGAGGAGCAGGAAGGAGGAAAAGAGGAGAGGGGGGAAGAGTGTGGGAGGTGGGTAGAAGTGAGAGCGAGGGGAAGGTGTAGGAGCGAAG